TGAATTTAGGAACCAACTTAGGAAATGGCAGCTCTCTTTTCTCATGTTAGTTCTCATTTGGCTCACCTGGGAGTCACAGAGACCTTTTTTCAGGAGCTGTGCGCTGAGTACCAAATTTTTAGAGTTTAGGTCCTTCATCCTTCTGCTTTGAGAGGAAGCATTCTCAGTTTTGAGTCCTGGAGGGAGGGGTGGGTGCTGCTGCATGTCCAGCTGTTAAGATGATACTTATCTAGCATGACGGTAGATGCCCATGGTAGTACAGATCCAGATGTGTTTAATGGCATCCTGCAGAATCCAGTTGTAGTCAGGAGGCACAAATAGTATCTTTCCCTTCACTGTAAAGACAAAATATGTCACTTTGTCCTTGCAAAATTATGAACTTTGCAGGCACCAGAGGCAATAGATCATCGTTTTGAGCAGCAAGATACTAAGTAGTAAGATGACCTAGCAGTTTGTGACGGACCTCTTCCCCAGTGTCTGTGGCAGCTCAGGATTGTGGAGCTGCCTTGAGAGAATGAGACGATATATTTTATTAGTGAGCTGTAAGGAGTGTGCTCATTAGTAAAGTCTATCGGTTACTTTGCATGCAATCTAAAAACCATTGAAAAGTTGATTTTCAGCTGTAGTTCACTGTTGTAGAGGCCTAGGTTATCTACAAAGCAATGTGTTCTTCCCTTCTCTTTCTTGGGACTTGCACTGCTTTATTTTTTTGTATTTTATTTTGTCTGCATATATATGTATATACACACATACGCATATACACATATTTATATAATATACTTTTTTAATAAAGCAGTGATTTTTTTCCTTTTATGTGTCATATTTATTAGTTTCTGCTGCTTCATTTGGTGTGATAATGAATTGAGAAGGCAGTAAATGAAATAGTCTTTAGCATTTGCTTTTATTCAATGTTACCTGTTTTTTATGCAGGATTTTTGGGCTAACTCTCCTTTTCAGTATTTTATTGTGAGATCATTTTATTGTCTTTGGTATGAATGTTGTCTTAGGGTGTTATGTAAATGACAGAGAAGAATGAACAGATGTA